AGTATCCTATGACTATCACAAAGTGTTGCAACTTATGATTCTTGATGAATGACTTTTTTTACATACACTGAGAACATATGCAACAAATTCCTTGTGTTTCCAATCACACTTCGCCGATAAAGAATTCTATTCTACTCTACTCTACTCTACTCTACTCTACTCTACTCTACTCTACTCTACTCTACTCTACTCTACTCTACTCTACTCTACTNATCTACCAATCATGATACAACCACACAATCAATCATTCCACTTACTGAAACAACGCCAGCACTCCACACACACCCCACCAAGATTTACAGAAAGACGGCAGCTCCGGCCACGCTTTAAGCCAAAACCCAGCCTGAAGATGGCAAGTGAGACTTCTCTAAAACGTTGCCAAGACAATCTCAATTTACATGGGAAAAGACCCAAATATAACAAGACCAGCATATAACACACACACACACACACACACACACACACACACACACACACACCTATTTACACTGATTATGAACAGGCACAAATAAAATAGTTCTGCTTTAGTTAAATAATATGAGAAAATTTGAGGCAAAGTGTTTGGATTTTAACAGCCTTGACTTATATTAATTTAAACTGACTTAACTGAATTAGTGGGGAAGCTGTAAGACTGTGGCAAAGGACTAAATTTTTCATAGATGTCTCCATATAATCTGTCTTCATTACCTAGATTTCCAAAATGCATTTTGAAGAGTGGCTGTTTATTTCAAGGATAGTAGACTTTAAAATGGTAACTGAATTGGGTGTTTCATGGTTGGAATATTTCAACCTTGAACATTTCTAATTATACAAATAATAGAAGCACTTTCATTGTGAAAATTATTTCTGATTCCTCTTTGCTCCGTTAATTCAAGTTGTTATTTCCTCTATTATTGGAAAATACAACAGAGAATTTGTTAACTTATGGGTTTTATTACATCCTGACATTGAATATATTTCTATCACTAAGTTGGTCAACAGTCCATCAGTTAGTAAATAGGACATAAAAATGTAATCGTATATATATATATATATGGCAAACTTGAATACAAAATATTGTTCTTACTAATTCAGCTGTTTTCCCCTATCTATTTTAAAGCCCCTACAGATGATTGCTCTCAGCAAATGGGTATTGTAATGCCCATCAGGAATATACTACTATAGCTGTCGTATAAATATCTTCATTAATTCTGCAGATAAATCCACTGGTTAGACCAAGGGTATCAAACTCAAGGCTCGCAGGCTTGATCTGGCCCACAGGGCTGCCGTAAAAAAAATGAAGGACTGCCCCATGATGCCTCTGTCAGTGAAAATGGAGCTCAGGAGAGCTGCAGCCCCCCCCTCCATTTACGGAGGCAGAGGGCAGCAGGAGGCTGTTGTGACCAAAAACAGAGTTTATGTGCCCATTTTTTATGGCAGAGCACTTGGGCCACCATAGATGCCCCTGACCCCAGTGATGTCAAGATATCCATGCCCACCGTGGCCATGTTTCCCAGGTCTCCAGAGGTCAAACACAACCCTGATGTTGCCGTCAATGAAATTGAGTTTGCCACCCCGGGTTAGACTTTGAAAAGGTTAAAATATATGTTGCTATGTATAACAACTGTAAAACATGTAAGAAGTAAAGAAACCTTTGCTCATTTTCAAATATAATCCAATTTGAAATTTGACCATGTTATAAGGATATTTCATATAGGATCAAGGACTGCTTCATTATATTGTGTGCAGTTTAGCTTTTACAATGACATCAAACAAGACTGATGTTTAACTTATTGTTTTTCAGACATATTGCTTTACAATCTTTATAAACTGTACTAGGATTTAGAAATGTTTCATACATATTATTTCCCTTTGCCTGTCACTTATAGGTCATGGACAGATATAGAATAAGCATATTAGATGGTATTGCTGTGTTTCACTTTATATTTAAAGGGTAAAAGAGTCTTTGAAGTGTGTCTGGTCTTTCATTTAACATCTATCTAAAACCTCTTAACAATGAATTTAGTTTTGAAGTTCCCTTATAAATGCTAAGGGCAGCTAGGAAAAGACACAGCTACTTTAAGGAGTTGCAGACTCCTGCACTTCAAAGCACCTATTTGCCTTTATATCCAACTGATGAATGATTTATGAAATACCAAGAATCCGCATGGAGTTGGTAGTTGGTAGTTACAAATATTATAATAAATAGTTGCCAAGAATTTAAAAATGATTTTTCAAACATTATTGAAAAGTGGATGATATCCATAATTGCCTATTAACAGTCTCATACCTACTTCAACAATATAATGATCGTGTCAATTTGATGGCCCTATTGAAAATGGCTCTGCTTTGTCATGAGGTGCCATCTTTAGCTGGATCTGTAAAATTGATTGACTATTTCCCAGGTGTTGAATGGAAGTAAATGATCCTGATCTGGTGGAAGTAGCAGACTTCAAGGGGAGCCCAGTTAGAAACCAGGGCAGCATTCAAAGGGAATCTGATTTTTCCAGTCTCTTTTACTGTTGAACTGAAGCTTGAATTGAAATATAATTGAATCAAGGCAATCCTTCAAAGCTCTGCAGATTCCTACTGCTTAGCAGAAGATTGGATACTAACCTTTACAGGTTATCTACAAGTTAATCTACACCTTTTTTTTTTCTGTAAATGTGTTTTTATTTTCCATTTTCATTTTGGTACAGTCACATATATACTGTGCATAACTGGGGCCATATAACATTAAACAATAAACACAGCCATTCCTCTTGTCAAGAATACCCCCCAAAATAGAGACCCAATGTACCTCTTCGACCCTCCATACACCCTTTCTTTCGCTCCGAAAGAAAGAAAGTTAATCTACACCTTGATGTACCATCACATGCCTTTCAAGATATGAATTGAGAAATAGAATCAATCTATTTGCCTTTCCTCTTGTGAAGCAGTTTTGTCAGTTGCTGACAATGTCTATTTAATAAACTCTTAGCTTGGATAACCAGTGGAGGGTGCTGGTGGCAGAAGAATAAAAATTATACAGAGGGATCCATATTTGGGGGAAAACAACAAAGAATATGTAAAGATAAAGGTGTAGAGAACATGACAGTCTGTCAGCTGAAGTCTAGGCTGATAAAGGCAGCCGTTTGTTAAAATGTGTTTTACTCAAATACAGGGAGGGTAACAAAGCATTCATAAGGGGAGAAAAGTGGCTGAATGAACATTTTAATTAATTCATGTGCAATTTTAATTAAAAACATAATGTGTCAGGGAAATGAATAATGCCTATGAGCAATAAAAGTAGCTGGATTTTCTGTTCAATTTTCTGCTTTGTTTCTGTTATTGAAGGTGATCGTTCTTATGAAAGATACTCCTTCTATCCCCAAACAACCAGCCATCTCCTCAAAACATTTTAAGAAAATTGATGATGAAGAATTAGCATGCAAAGTGAAAAATTTCTTTGGTTTCTGTATATTAGCACAATGCTAAGATTAGATTGGTTAGTTTTACATGAATTAGGAGGTAAAATTGGGTGATGCTATAGATAAGCACTATATTGTCAACTATAATAGCATTTTCCACCCCTTGGAGGTATGACATATTCACGGACTAGTGAACTAAGGTCTATGAAAACATCTTTATTAGCATTACATAAAAATGAAAATAAAACTTATTTTTAACTTCTTGATTCATTATGATAGTGGGTTAATGTTGAAAGGTCATGCATATATTATTCACTACAAAGTTACCCTTCTAAATGAGTATCTATGGATTGTAGGATGATTCCCTGTGACAGTAACATGAGACAACCCTGAGCTATCCGTAAGAAAAAATGGGACATTAATAGGCAAATCACTTTTCGCTAGTTTGGACAACTGATAGAATCACAGAACTGGCATTTAAACTATTGACTCCAACATCCTACTCCTGTTCAGGAATACAAATTGAAGCATCCCCAAAAATCTAATCTTTATTAGAACAAATTCAGCAAAATGGGTCTGTTGTTTTTGCTGTTGATCTGCTCTTATTGTTATGAGATTATTATTTTTTAGGGAGAAGTATACTATAATGCTTCTCTAGGATATGAAAGAAGAGATTTTGACCTGTTTCTATGTGACATCCCTTCAAGTACTTGACAACTGCTTCAATGTGCTCTAAGTTTTATTTCTTAAGGCTATTTCCATCAATCTTTTCCCATCAGACCTTAGTTCCTAATCTTCTGATTATCCACATCACTTTCCTTTGTATCTGATTTTTTTCTGTTAATTTCTCTTAAAACATTATGTCTAGAACTAAATTTTGTTTCTAAGCCAGATCTGGCCGATACAGAACATAATGGAATAATTACTTTCTATACTTTGAAAAGACTTCAATAGTTGATTGATTGATTGATTGATTGATTACATTTGTATGCCGCCCTTTTCCCCGAAGGGGACTCNTACTTTTCCGCTCACACTGAAAAAAAATTAGAGGGAACATTGCTGGCAAGCCAACAAGCCCAGCCAACAAGCCCAGCATCTTAACCAGGGGTGAAATACTCTGAAGTCTGCTACCAGTTCACTTTGCTACAGGTTTGCTTCGCACACATGCATACCACATGGGCATGCACACCACAGGCGCTACTGCTGAAAAAGGAGGGTTAAAAAACCCTTTCTGAGTCTGCAAAGCAGGATTTCCTGCTTTCTAGCAAATATAAATCGTGCAGCACAGCTGATTGTCACACAGCTGATCGGTATCATAGCATGGGCATAATTTGACATGTTACTTGACAATGTTCAAAATCATAAACAATGAAAAGTTGTTTATCATTGTTTATGATAAACATACATATATAGTTGAAACTTATTCAGAAAATATAAACTGTTTTCCATGCTTTCAAGTTTTATAAAGCACTGACTAGACCTTCTTTTACTTTTAGGGGGGGGGGGGCTGAAGGAAAAACTACAAATTCCTTATCCTAATATTCTTTTCTCTTCTTTGCCAGTGGAGTATGATTTTGGTGGTAGGATTTAGAATGACAAAAGAATGTGCACTTACCACATTTTGTCCAATCCGTATCCATTTCATGGCACTCTTACTTCAGAAACATCCAACAGTGATACAGCAGCTGTGGATGAATTTATGACAATAGAGTGGGTGACAAAATTATTGGAAGTTACATTTTCCCATTAATTCCTTGATGCTTTTGTCCTGAACAATAAAACCAACAATTTTACCTATTTAGGCCTACTTGTGAAGAAAACACCCAAACCTTTGCTTATAAAACAAAACTCTGATGATTGTATCATACTGTTCTTCAAATATGGGTATTTTTTTTCAAAGACAGGTAAACCATTTTTCTGTTGAAATAGTCTCCAGTTATAATCTCTGCCTGTAATAACAATTCTTTTATTTTGCAAATAACCTAATATCTAATAGATACAGATACAACATCATTCATGACACTGAAATCTGTCTCACAATATCTACTTTTTTCCTTAGGATTTGGCTGAACAGCATGTTGCCTATCTTCTTAAGACTGTTCTGTAGAACAATGCTGACCACAAACTGTAAATCACCGTTCTACAACACATTTCGGTAACATGCTTTCAACATGGTCCAGGAACTCATCAGTATTTAAATCACTCAATGATTCCTAACAGAAAAGAGAATGTGATTCAATCTATTTGCATCCACCCTGTACAAAATGGCTTGCATCAATGTCTCTTGAAGAGATTCTGTATCTCATTATGAATGACACCTATGGCATGGGCGAATGAACAGATACATTAAGATTTACACATCTATAGTGTGCTAGTATTTCACTGCACTGTAATTCCAGATAATTCTCTTCTATGTCTGTATCTGTTCCAAGTATACCTCCACCAGAGTTTGTGTGTCTGTTGAGTTTGGGCTCTCTGATTGTTGCATGGAGCTTTTTTTAATGAACTTATGCCTTCTGACATAGATTTCTCTGTGGAACTTGTATTGCTGCAGTAAGCCTCAGGAAATCCTCTGTCTCCCATTTTTTGCTTTTTTACATAACATCTCTGGATAAAAACATACAAATATACAGGACATGTAACCAATGCCCCCTTTGCTAAGTGAAATACGATATGTATACCTTGCATCAGAGGTGGGTTGCTCCCGGTTCAGGCCAGATCGGGTGAACTGGTAGTGGCGGCGGTGGGAGGCTTCATCCACTCACCTGGATGCTTCTCTGCATGCGCAGAAGTGTCTTGTGCACACGAGCGCACGTGTGAGTCAGGGATGGGTTCCTGCCAGTTCTCACCTCTTCTATAGAAGAGGTTCCACAAATCTACAGTGCCGTTTAGAACTGGTTCCAGCTCCCTCCCCCCGCCCATCCGCCCGTTATCAAGATGGAGAGAGAGGAGGAATTCTGGGAGTTGAAGTCCACAAGTCTTAAAGCTTTCAAGTTTGAATACTCCTGGGTTTTTTTTTCTAAAAGGCTGGGAGTGCAAGGATATTGTAACTTGACAGCTTTAAGACTTGCATGCTTCAAATGCCAGTTTCTGAGCCAACATTTCGGTTGCTAAGCAAGAGTGTTGTTAAAGTGACTTCCACCACATTTTACAAGTTGGCCACGCTCACCCAGTCACATGGCTGGCAAGCCACTCCCACCCGGTCACATGACCAGCAAGCCACTCCCACAAAGCAGGCCACATCTACAGAATAGGTTCTAAAAAAAATTGAAACCCACCAGTGGTGTGAGTGCACAAGTGAACCGATAATAAAAAAAAATGGAAACCCACCACTGCCTTGCCAACATGCTCTCTACATATGCCTAGATTAATCAGGCCATGCATTGACATGTAACTAAACATCTTTTGCAAGATACCCTTAGTGCACACCCATATGGATGTGCTTCAGGTCTGTGACTGAACGCAGATACATTCCCACAATCCAGGCCCTGCATGGGGACATGTCCAGACATTTAATAAACTCCTTTTGCAGGGCGTGTTTTGGGCATGCCTGCAATCATTATGAGGGTCTGTCTGTGCAGACTTGTAGTTAACACATAGGAATTATTTTAAAAATGCTAGCTTTTATTTTTGGTCAAGCTCAAAATGGAGTAAGTTGCTTTATTCATTTTTTTAAATTGTTGTAGAACGTGAACTAGTGAGTGAATGAGAGAGGTGTGCATTTGTATTTTCAGTTAGACTTTTCAAAAATATGTGTGCTTTTGTTTTTCAGGAAAAGCAAAAGAACAAGCTGTAGCTTAAAACTTTTTCTAGTTTTTTATGAATTTAGCTGTTGATTTTTAAAAATTAGAGTTTAATCAGGATTTACTTCAAAAAATGAAGTCAAATCCTAAATGATCAGAGGTTGAAGAGTTTGTCCGGTACTCAGCCTTTCTTGGTGGGATTAGGAAACATGATCTTCAATAGGTTTCATGACCAGATGGGTTTTGATTGTTTAGTTTGATGATTTCAGTGATTAAAATTTTTGATAATCTTCCATTGTAAATTAATATAAGCTGCTTCAATCATACTGTAGGTAAGTTGCTGTGAGAGACCCCACTCCGGAAAAGCAATAAAATAAAATAAAAATTATTAATTGCAGTTAATTGCATTGTCCAGCTATTATTATGGTGATATATCACTAATGAAGAAGATACACTTTATATTGTCATAATTATGTCAGGATAGCATTATAAATTACTGACATGGAAATGATTCCTAACAGTTCAAACTATTAAATTTCTGCATCTATAAAAGTGCACAGTTTGGTCCTTTATTGAATAATCCCACATATTTTTTATGAAACAACAATCCACCTGGGCATAAAGCCTTATTAAACAGTTTAAATTTTAGTTAAGAACTTTTGTGCTAAATGTATATCTGCTCAAACTATATCATGTTTACAAATTCTGGATGACTATGCTTAACAAAGTAGGGAGGTACTGCACTCCTTAAGAAAGCTAGCATGAAAATGTTAAGTTGCAGAAATGCCTGTTCTTTTAAGGATGCATATTATTCATAAGTAAGTTTCCATTTTATTTTATTTTTTATGTATAGAAATTAGAATAGTTTATGAGAGTATAAATGACATTGCTACTCCAGGTGATTGAGATATTTTCCCATGTAAGATTGAGATTGTCT